TAAATTAAAGTCAGTAAAACATCTAAATATGAAACAGATGTGGCAGACCAGACTTTGTGGTGTCTTTTATTTCAAGTTCACTGGAATATATCGGGTCAACATATGAATGAAAGTATAACTATTGTTAAATGATAATACATCGTTGATACATCTAAATGTCGAGTTAAAGGCCACAGCAAGTGTATTCTTCTTTTCATGTAGAAGTTTTTGAATACATTCTGCTTCATAGAAATATAAAAATAGGTCAGCTAATAAAGGGGCACAATAAAAGTCCATCGAAATTCCATCAGTTTGTCGGAAGCCCTGGTCTCTGAAGACTATAGAAATGGAACTCCAGTATCCTTTTAATATCACATCACAGCCCTTGTGTGTAGAATCAGAGTGATTCAGAGTGTTTAACGAAGTAATTTTGTTGCTGACCAGTCACAAGGTAGGACATTTTTCGACTTTCATTTTTATTGAAAAAACAGTTATCTATGATATCAAAAAGTTTAATTTTTAATTTATCGTAAGGAATAAATATATAAAGTGTAGAAAAGTCGTACAACTTGATGTTACTGACTTTTGAAAAAATTGGCGATTTTGAATTTTTATAAGTTCTTTGGAGCTTTTGAGAATCCTCATCTAATTTACATCACTTCTAGAATATTTCTAGAATATGCTGTAGCACAGTACATATGAAGTTTCTTAACAGCAGTTAATATTTTTGTAAGGCTAGGGGCTTAGTAGAGCAAATTGCTTGACCCTGCAATGTATCTCTGTTTTATGACGTTTATGAATCCAATAAAGGTAGGGTAGATCCAACTCACCTTGATCGACTGGAATGTTCAAAGTTTTAAATACTGAAACGTGGTATTGAAGAATTTTATCTTTAGAAAGTGAACTGCAAGTATAGGTTGGATTTTCAAAGTAGAATTACGTTCTTTTAAAATACAGTTAAAATAATAACCCTTGCAAACAAGCCTTGTCGGCTGAAACCATAACATATTGTTTATGTATTCTTTTTTAATTCTTTGATCACATCCGATTTAGTGAAAACAGAAGGATAGCTGATTTGCATACTGCTTTTAGATTTCTTATACTATTCTTTAATACTAGTATTTATTCCTAAAACATTTGATCAATTCTGACAAGGTGTTCAGAGTTTCTTTTTCAAATTTAGCCCAACGTCTGGCATAATCTTTGACATAATTCATAATAGAAATGAAGTTCTGTCGCCAATGAAAGACTATATTTAGAACTTTTTAATATGATCGCTTTAAGGTCTTCATTTTAAACTGCATTGACTTAACCAGTAATGACGTGTCCAGCAGGACTGTAGTTGAAAGAAAAAGAAGAGCAAGAACACTTGAGAGGATTTTGTTTGAGATGTTCAATATCTAGGTATTGTAACAGACCTGTTTACCCATATCGTTGTCTCTCAGTATTTTTTGTTAGATTTGTCAGTGAGATTTGGCATTTGCCCGTAAGATTTCACTTTCCATCGATTTTACATATATTACTTACTACATTTCTGATTACCAAAACATGAGTTAACAACAAAGAAAAGCATCATACCTTGCTTTCTTTCTGGTTTTTTTTTAAACCACCGAGTTTTAGCAACCCGATATCACTGAAGTGTTTGAAATCTTTCTGCGTCAAACTGAGACACATCATTACGAAAACTAACTGTTAAAATCCAAACGAACGGATTTCTCATTTCCGTATTTTCATCAAAGCAAAACGTGAGACGTATTTTGGACTCAAAATCCGTACAAAATACGGCGAAATCGTAAGAGTAAACAGGTCTGTTGTAAGGTTTGTTTATATTTAAAATTGTTTACAAGGCTGAACCTTTTTATGATTTAGAATGTTACTAATGTTCAGAGCATTTATTTCAGTGTTTATGAAAAGGTATTTTCCGCTTGTCGAAAAGTCCTGAGAAGTTGCGATTGGCCACACATGGAATCAAACAAATTAGTATGACTCGATTTTTCAAATTCTACGAAAATTTACGTAAAGGTTAAAGGCCGAAAACTGTCCATTCTGTGAGAAGAAAGAACTTTTGTGTTGGAGGGCCGTTAGGCCTGACAATAGTTCTTTCTTCTCACAAAATGGACAGTTTGAGGCCTATAACCTACTTAAAGGCCGAGGTTTTCTACCGGTCGGTTTTCCTCAGGTAAGTTTGGTGTGGGGTGGAGCTTAATTGAAACAGCTGTGAAGCCCCGAGGGAACCAAGTTGGCTTGTGTATACCTACCTATATACACAGGATGTTACCTGTATATTACCTGTAAATGTTTTCCTAAGAAATAGTTTAACTTCGCGTGCTGGTCAATCGAAATGTTGATCGTCAAATTTATGAAATAAAACATGCTAAATTTTTGATGTAGACCGATTCCTTTAGTTCAATTCTTTTTTTAAAATATGTTTGAATAAAGGAGACAATTTTAGTTTAATTTTGTGCGTTAATAAATTTCAAATCTTTGGTTGTAAGCTGGCGACACCGACGGAAATAGTCATTCGCAAAACGAAAGTAGAAAAAAGTGCGGTCCTGAATAAGTCTCTAAAACTAAGAAATCCTGTTTGAAGGCTAAATTTTGTAGAAAAAATATGATAAATTGGATAAATATTTTTTTTATATAATTCCTATGCGATTAACCCATGACCCTTTTTAACTTGGATAATATGACTATCTCATAATTATAAAAAAGGAATTATTATTTAATTTAATTACACGATGCTTCCAATGCAGTTCAGTATTTTCTGTTTTAATAAAATCGATGTACGTGTAAATTTGGATAATCTATACTGCAATATAGATTGTATAGTGAAATAAACCCTCTTTCTTAATTACAATTTCAATAGATATATGACTGATTTTCTTTTTCATTTATTTAATTATTTGACAGACTGATTAAATATAAATTATATATGGCTATTTACTTTATCACAAAGTAAAAAAAATAATATCAGCTCTGGCTGCTTCTTTATCACCATGTTATATATGCGGTAGGCATCAAAGACTGAATGTTAATTCAATGATCGGTACGATCCCCAGCCAAGGTATACAAGATATACACAACAGCAGGTAACAAAATGTCAATCAATTTTCAGTATCCAATCTCAGGCTTAATTTCATCTGATTGACAGGGGTTCACAGACCAGGTAAAATTGAGGGTGGAGCTTATTTCCTCCCCCTTTAAAACATCTACTCTATTGTGTTCATAATGTACTCTCTTAGAATTGTTTCTCATCCACTGTATTGAGTAAGCATTGTCTACTTACTAGATTGTCTCAGGTATAGGTTGCTGACGATCAAAAGAAACTTACATTCATTGTAATTGTTAACTTAGTGGACAGTTACAGTTAAGTGTTAATTTTAAATTAACGAATTAAGAATATGTAACCACAATGCCATGATATTCCAAAATAATTTTCTTGCGATTGTCAATGTTAAAAGCACGTCTTCTTCCGAAGGAGAAAGCTTATTCTGATGCAAATAAAATTCAGATAAGATAAGCAATCTACTAATAATACACATTTCATTTTTCAAGTGATTTTTTGGATTTTGAGGTTAGGATTGTCAAGATAATGAGGTTATGATTGTCAAGATGATGAACTTTGAACTCAAAGTGGACTTTTTTCCAAATATATCTCAACTTTTGACCAAGGCTATTTAAGGATGGTCAGTGGGTTGGGACCATGGAAATTAACATGGAATGCCCCGTGTATTTAAATCTATTAAACAGCATTTTTATTATATTAACATTTATAATATAGTTAATAGTAAATACACCGATTCTGCACTGTGCGATACTGGTGACGTCACAATACCCCATATCAAGGACCGCACTCGGCACACCTCGGCCGATTCGTACCTCATTGATGAAGGTGACGGAATCAGCCGAGGTTTGCCGAATGTCAAGGACCGGTCCGAAAATTCATATCACGTATCGGACCGGCATGCAAAAATCCATATCAAACCGGAAGTAACGTTTGTATAAAGTTTAAAAGTTAATTTACTTGATTTTATTTAAATATACATGTAAAAAAAATTCTTAAATAACATCTGTGGACTTAATTTTTTTTTTAAAGGCCTAAAATCGGCTCTATTAGATTTTAAAGAAAAAAGTCAAACATGCACGAAACATTCTTCAAAGACTTTATGTGAACTCCCATATTAAGTATTTTAAATATATGATAAATGGCTGATATGGGGCCACTCGGGCTGCTATGACATATGATATGGATTTTAAAATGTAATATTCTCTATTTGTAGTTCACATAAAATGTAAATATAAGGAATCGCTGTCTCGTTTGTAGGGTATGTCAGGACATCAACGACAGTTTGAAAACGTGGAATAATTAATGCATAACGGGTTTTGCCCGTTATGCAAATTATCCCACGTTTCCAATCATCGTTGATACACTGGCATACCAAACAAACTAAACAGCGATTCCCTAAATCTTAATGATAGAACAAGCTTTTCCACCATGTATTATACATGTATAACAATTGAAGAATGTATACCATATAAAAAACATTGTTTTCTCCAAATGTCTTGATACCTATAGTTTATCCTAAAATATATTTGATAGATATTTTTAATTAGAAAATGCATGGTAGGTGCTTTTTTGCATTTTCTGAAAATATTTTTTAGATTTGATAATTCTCCCAAGGGTAAATACAAATTAACAAATTACTTCGATTTTTTGCAAGCATTTTAAACTACTGAACTCCTGATTTTTAAAACCTGAGGATCGGAGTAACTTAAGGATATCCTCAGATAGGAACAACTCTTAATATTACTTTTAAATTTAAAAATCTTGAAATTGAAATCTTTCATAATAATCTTAAAATCTTGACATTGAAATCTTTTTGTGCAATGATTTTCTGCTGTAACTGTATTACTATTTTCTTATTGGATACTTCAAAATAATACACTCACAAAAACAAATCATGGGAGACTTACCTTCTATTACTCAAGCCTTTTATATACATTTACATCAAATAAGTCCAAACTGCTTTACATACCTTTAATATATCATGATGTGATTCATATCAGCTTGCCTAACATAAAACCTTAATGCACAACTTTGATTTATACAGAACAACAATGTACAATCACATAGTTTTTAGCATGTATATTGCAAAATATTTTATATTTTGGCCCCACTCCTCAGGCTTCAAAAGGACAGGGACATTATTTCTAGTCCCCTTCATCTATTGTTGCTTCATACCAACACTGGCTGAAATTTGTTTAGCCATTTCAGTGAAGAAGCTGAAAATGTTTTTCGTATTTTTTTAAATTGAGCACTTTGCTCATTATATGAAGATGGACTGGAACATATAACAATAGGTCATGTGACCGACTCCAGTGACCGAAAAATGTATGTCCTCCAAATACAGCACCTATAAGTGATGAAAACTGAACAACATTGGGCACTACATGAATTGTGAAATATGTACACTGTACTGGCAGCAGTTTAACAACCAGGTCCATTATCCCTTTCTTGTTGTTTCATTTGCCAGTCACCATGGTCACTGCCATTCTTCAGGTCCACTATCTTTGTCTCACTTGCCAGTCACTGGCCCCTCTTCTGGTCTCTCATCAATGGAGGAGTCCATGGAATCTTCTTCTTCAACAGATGGTGGATTCTCCAGATCTTTCTGGCCTTTGCCTTCTGAAACATACAAGTGCCAAACTGCATGTTTACTAGAGTAATAATTTTAATTAATGATTTAAATCTCTATCAATATAAAAGAAAATGCTAAATATTTTTGCAAATAAATCAAAAGAAAAAAAAAATATTATCAACAATAATAATAAAATAATACAAACTAATTTCAATTTATAAAAATTGAAAGGGAATTTAGTTTATGAAAAAGACCTAGAAGAAAATGCCAGTGACATTTCCATTACTTTATCAATTTCTCCCATTGCTGTATTTTATCCCGATAAAAATCTATTAGTCGAGTGCACTACTGATCCACCACTCAAGATGTGCTCAGATAGGGGTTAGTGCTGCACACAAAATAACTTGTGAGTTTCAGACCAATCAAACTGCAGGACACAAAGAAAACAGGCCAATCAAAACTGTGGATAGCAAAAAATCACACTTCTAATCCTAATTCTGATGTCACTAGTTGTACTCCCAATATCATCATGTTATTTAGATTTTCTTAATTATATAACTGCATAGTCTAGAATAAATATAAGTTTCGCGTCTACAAGAAAACATTTTATGTTAGAATTTTAGTACTGTTAGTAGGTCTCCAAGAAGGTAAATCTTGACCAGGAACATTAGGATGGCTGATGGAGTAATCAACTATTTTCAGAATATTTTGCACAAAAAAGAATGCCTAAGTTATGATCCTTTTTTCCTATTCCATATGCTTCTTCACCTGGTACCTTTAAAGCTAATTTTTCACAAATCCCAAAAGAAAAGCTTACACCATATTGATTTACAATTTATCAAGTGTTTCATCACTCAAGTAACAGAACAATCAACGAATCACCAGTTCACTTCTCTTAGAAGTTAGAAATTGAATTTCTATGCCTTACATCCAAGGGATAAGACACATAGTGCCAAAAATGAACATACCACTATCCAATTCTCAATACAAAGTCTTTTTTATCCAAGTATCATGTACACGACTGGAACAAGCCAGTGGGAAATTTTCTTCATTGTAACATACAATATTTATTTTCTCCTTCAAGGAAAATTAATATATATGCAATACTCAAATCTGTGCAGAAAACTTATCACAGATTTCTCAAATCTGAATGCACAGTTTTCATGAGGCCACTTTTGACATTCCTTATGATTTTTTTGGAGGTATGTTTCAGATATCTTCTCACGAAGCACAACAAAATTTTTGGTGAGAGTGTAAGATACAGTGCATTAATTTGACATTTTTGTTCTGAAATTGTAGCTTGAATGTTAATCACTTATCCTAATACATACTTTAAAAGATATAATCATGGCAATAAAGATAACCTTATTACATTTTCAACAGTGAAATACTGTAATTTATTTATTGAATAAAAGTTTCTGACACAGTGTGAAAGGATATCAAAATGGTATTCTCACAGTCTGAGAATATCAGAATTGCAGCAAAACTTTCGATTTTCCTTCCCATCACGAAGAGTATTTTTAAAAAAAAAAACTCCCTGACATGACGTCACAGCCTATGACACGGTGTTATGAAAAGACAGTCAAAGGGAAAAATCAAAGAAAATGTAATAAACAGAAAATCCAATGTTTCATAGATGAGTATGGAATTTATTTCACTCATGAGACAGGATTTTTTTTTATATTTTCACTTGTGCTTCGCACTCGTGAAAATACATAAAAATCCTGTCCCACTCATGAAATAAATTCCATATTCATCTACAAAACATTGAATATCCTCTATTTATTTTATGATATTTACATTCAGTGTATATTTCTTTATGAAATCCAATGGAAATCTACATTCAATACCCTATATAACACACACAAAACCTTGTCACTGCGCGGTAGAGTACACAATGAGAACTCTATGCATTTTCAATACTCTAGGAACACAAAATGTATATTTTTTTGGCTCAGTTTAATTAAAAACAGTTACACTTTTTTCACTTATAAATGCTATGTCTGTATTTTTGGCATTAAAAATCAAGCTTTTTTAATGCTGTTTGGAAAAACCTAACATGCTATTTAAAAAATAAAAAGTTAGGGTCTGTTTTTGAATATGCAAATTTCAGGATAAAAACAAGGTAGATTTTATCTTAATTGTTTTTTTTTTTAATGTATCTGCATTTTTTTGGTAAAACTAGTTGAAAACATTTGTTTTCAAGTACAATTTGAAACCTACATACAAATCAATATTCCTAGCAATTAAAATTGCAAAACTTTCTATACCGTTAATTATATCATGAAACAAAGTTCTAAAGTATTGAAAAAATGGATAGATTTTCTATTAAATATCCTTCAACCACAATAAAAGTCCTGTATAGATCCCTTTCTAGCCGATGATGCAAGAAGATTTTTAATTGACTATCCTATACTAAGTTACTTTGATCTGTTGTAAAAATTGCATTAATTAAATTGCATTCACTTATAATTAGGACATAAGACACTCTTACCAAACTCAAAAACTGACCTTAATTAAGATATCCTTGAATTTTCTTTGTTTGATTTATGATTTATATGTGTAATTCTCTTTTTTTCCCCATTGACTTAAAAAAGGGCAAATAATTGCCAAAATTCAATATATTAAGGAGAGATATTTATTACAATACTGAATTTACACCAATTATCTTTATTTAACTGCTCTGGCACTAAACATTAATTTTTTATTTATTTTTTTTTTTAAAAAAACTTGCTGATGATACAAATAAATTTAGATTGTCTTATATGTTGTGAAATTAACAATTCTGCACTAAAATACCACAGGCAATTTGCACAAAATGCTCTTGATTTATTTTTTTTCACCCATTTCTAGTGCATGGTTACCTATAAACTTTATGACTGGAAAAACAATTTTTAACATTTATCTGTAACAGAACACACAATAATGGTTAGGGTATATCTTTTCTAACCTACCATGACAAAAAAAGTATATATCGACAAATGGTATGTAGTGAAATATTTTTATAATTTTAAGTGCCAAGTGGCAGAACTTACATATACTATAGCTTTAGATGCTGAATTTTTTTTATGGAAAAAGTTTCCATTTTTCTCTCATCATCAATTTCAACATTACCTCAATGCTTTTTTTTTTAATAACATTTCAAACATTCTCCTTTTCACTGTCCTATTCTTAATGGGAGATTAAATTCAAATAATGACCATATTTCATTTGTTTGATTTAATGGAACAGGTTCATACTGAAAGCAAATCCCAGATTTTAATGGCATTGCTATTGAAAAAACACCAACGATTGTAAATAAAGAAGAAACAAAAATATTTCTCAATTCCTGAAGACAAAACTCTTTTTTTAATGCCTGACAATGTTGTACTGAGGAAATTGTACATTTGTAATACCAAATAGCTGGATTAGAGGGGTTTCTGGTTTTCTGATGTTTACAAAATAACTGAGGGTGCTGGCAGAAACTCTTTCATGGGGTTGCTGGATTTCAGGGGGTGTCAGTTTGACAATTTTCACTTAATAAATCTTTGTTTCATTAAAGGTTTTGCTAGAAACAAGAATTCAGTATGGAAGGCACTAGTGTCAAATAAAACACCAAAATCCATTGAAACTGCTTTCTTCTCTGTAACAATTACTTCTCCATTTGTTGAGTGCTTGCTGAATTTTTTTTTTTTTAATAGCCAGTGTTTCTTCCATATTACATATTTATGCATAAATTCTTCTGTTTTGAAATAACAATGCACTTGTATTTCAAGTTATTTTTTCACTCTTTTTTGTGCCCTTCTGCTTACCTGTTTGTCTAAATACAAAAATTAAAATTAGTTTAAATTTATACATTATAATATTTTTTTTACTTATAATGATGCACATCCTTTCTATATGTTTGATTTTATGTAATATTTCACTCACATAAACACCTTCAAGTATTTCTAAGTTAAATGACAAAATTTCATGCTTCAAAGTTACAATAGTATTCAATCTTCAAGCTAGTTACCATGGTTACATGGAACAACAAAACTGCACAACAGAATACAACATGGAAATTAGCTTCAATCGTACTAGAGAAATCGTATCAAGTTGAATAACATAGACTTATCCAAGCTTGATGACGACTTCATGTAAGATCAAAATGCATAGAGATACAACATGCTGACAATAAACATCAAAATACATAAAGAACAAAAGTCAGGAAAGAAGCAAAAACTGAGATCAAAGAGGTTAGACTTTTATATTTATCCCAAGAGACACCTTAACCCCCGGATAAAACAAAAATACGAAACAATGTACCGTGGAATTACTATAGCAGCACATTTCTGTTGTAAAAATGCACAGGTCATAATAGACAAGGGTAAAGGGGGGCTCCGACTAGAATTCACCTCTGAAAGCACTGGACATTTACATGCAGGTGGATACTTCCCTCTACTCAAACTCTCCCCCTACATTTTCAACAAAGTTAAATCTTTACTGAAAATGCATCTCATGGAAAGGCTGGGCAGAGAATTTCATGGTGTACTAAGAGAACAGGGAGTTTTGTGTGCAACACTTTGATGACATTCGTACAATACAAAAATATTTTTTTGTCATCACAACATAATGGCAAATTTGAAGGTGTATAAAATGTAAACACTGGGATTTTGTTCTAGGTCTGAGTAGAGTTTACCGTTTGTACTTGCACTGGGTTTACAGAGGCGATGATTCATGTGTTGGCTGTAGGACCCTGAGTGGGAGAATCGTTTTCCACACCGAGTACAAGAGTAGGGTTTTTCGCCGGTATGCAGGCGTTTATGTTCTGTCATATGGTGTTTGTGTTTAAATGCTTTCCCACAAATATCACAGGGGTATTTACGCGGACCTAAAGAGGAGCAAAAAGTTAGATTTTTATCACATGCACATTCTAATATGTGCTTTTACCATACTGGTCTCTGAAATTAAAGAAAATTTGGCTGCTTTGTTCTCTTTCAGATTTTCTTATCTTGTATATGGATTTTTCTAGATGAAATTTATTAAACTATATGACAGGAATTTGTACATTGTATTTAACCTGATTTATGTTTTTTAAGTGTTTACAATAATTTTGTTTGACTTTTGCATCTGAACATTGTTTGTGCATATTGAAAATTAACGACTTTTAAATGAAGAGAAATTATGGGTATTCATAATGAACTGATGAAGAATCTTCCATTTACCATTTTAAATCTTAAATGATTCCATTTGATTAGAATATTACAACAAAAACTTTGGAATATGCAACCAAAAAATATTGTGACCATTTATTCCAAGTGATTTTTTAGATGTGCTGAATTAACAAAATCAAACTAAGGGAATAAAAAGAAAATGAGAAGAAATAAATCACATGAAATTGTGAATAAAATTGAAATATATAAAACAAAAAGTGGAAGTAAAAATGAGAGTGAACTGAAAATAAATTAAAATGAACTCAAAATGCATGTATAGTTCTACAGTGTGAAAGATAACATAACCCAACCCTCTATGAACCGTGGTGTTATTAGCCGTAATATTAGTAGGTGTTATTTGTGCGCCATGCCACAAGTTATAATCAAACACTGTAAACTTTAAAATAAGAAATATATTCTAAAAGAGAGTTCACATTTACATCCAAAATGCTTTGCAGACTTAGCGTTTCCATGCCAGTAAACAAGTATAATGACTTTTAGAGAAATGTATCTGTGAACAATCCTGGTGTGGTGAATTAATTTTGTAGCAGTATATGTGGCATGTAAAAAGAAATCATGTATATACAATTGTTATTGTCTTTTGATATTTCGTTCTGTATCTAATTTCAAGATTTTTTTTTTAATTGCACAAGAGATCTACGTGGTTGTGTTAAAACAATGTAATGGGTACTAAATGAAAGACTTATTAATGTTGTGTCAGTAGATTAAGATACTTAAGGCTGCTGTATTTTTAATTCTCTGTGTAATTTAGGTGTTTCTGGTTTTTCAATAATCATATGTAAATCTGAATATACTTTGTCACAATCATTACGGTAACCTACTTTGTACGAAATGTTTTATTCTCTCTCTCTGTACAAAAATGGAATAGACTGTGATTAAAATGAATGGGGAATTAAAAACTCAAACAGCCCTAATTTGTCTCCAAACAACACATACATACAATAAATTGGTTCTATAAAATAATACCTACCCTCTTCACTGGCTGATTCTAGTAAAACAAAAAGGTGCAACATGCTGACATAAGTAAACATGGACTTGAGATTATCTCAAATTTAATATTAGTGAAATTTAGCATTAAAAAAAATTAATTCTCTGCATAAATATGCTCAATGCATTGATGTAGAAATTTTGCAGTTTTAAATAATGCCAATATTTGAGATAATCTTGAATGAACAGTAGTAATGTAATAATCGCAATAAATATAGGTTATCTAAACTGTCACATGCATTCCAAACTGACATTCCCATCTAACACACCCTAGTCATGCCTCAAATGTTCCAGCTCTAATTAAGCATGCAGAGGTGAAAGTTTACTGATCGGCAAGCTTCCACACCAATCCCGACTGGCAGACGAAGCTAGTGAACGTCCGCAGATTATACAATTTTAGTTGTGTTAATACTGAGGAAGCACTTGCCTGATGCCTAATTAATGATGTACTCGTAAATTATTTTTCAACCATCAACTTGCATTCTCCAAAATGAGCACACGCATTTTTCATTTTTTGGATATATTTCATAATTTAAAGTTTTTATCTTTTAAGTTATTTAAAACAATACCAAACAAATAAGAATTCTAAAGTATAATATTTCAATGGTCCAGGACAAATATTGGCAATACTTAAATTAGCAAAACCACCATATTTTTCTGAGTATATGTTGATAAGATATGCATAAGATTCTGTACCTTTTCCATTTGGAAATTTTATATAAAAAAGTTGGAAATTTTGAAATTATGGATGACTTATATGTTTTACTAATCCTCTGATGGCAGATAAATTGTAGGCTTATCCTCTATTCACATCTTTTTGAGCCATTATCTCAAACCTCAATATTTTATGAAAAGCACTGAAATATTCAATACTCCTATCATTTGGAAAATTTTTATCTTTTTTCTTTTTTTTGGGGGGGGGGTACATTTTTGGTTTGGACCAAGCCCTTTTACCAGACCTGTTTCCAATGGGTATTAAGCCCCAGTGTCATCAATTTAATTTTGTTTATCAATAAAAGTTCACTTCATGTAGAATAACTATTAAGTCTTGGCAATATCCTCTAGCATTGTTTCATATTTCTTTTCACCATTTTAAATCTGAAATTACATGTATATATATTTCGAAAAGTTCTAACTCTGAAAGGGATTTTCTAGGCTTTAATAGGAACATGACATTTCTGAGCAATTACCACGTATATAGATATATTCTCAGAAAAATATGGTATAAATCTTAAACCTGAAATAAAAGACCTCTTTCAATTTGCATTTTTATTTTAAGGTTCTTCCTTGCTCACTCTTCACTCACACAGCATGCACATCATATGACTGGAGCCTACAGTTACTCACCCTCCCCTCTTTCTTTCTTGTCTTTCTCCTCTTTTTTGGTCTTTTTCTTATTTTTCTTCTTTTTGGGTGTGGTTTCTTCCTGTGATTCTGGACTGTCCATCTGATCCATAGACTTGTCATGGGTCAGCATGTCTGGGGAGGTTGTGGGGGAATCAGGGGATGGGGAGTATAGAGGATCATCTCCCTCCTTTTCATAGGGCTCCATTCCCATCATTCCGTCCTGTGACATGTCCTATACAAATCACAATGGTTATAAATGACGAGAACAGTCAAATGTTACAAAAAATGTCAAGTACAACCTTTACAAAAGACTTTTTAGCTCTGATTTTTATTATGGTTAAATAATCATAAGTAATGATTATTATTTTTTCTGTTAGTCTAAATAGTATTTTATATAGACAAATTGCAACTCATGAAATTATAATTTCTTAAAAGTAAAAGACCCCATTTTCTATTTTTTTTGGATGCAATTAATAATAAATGAGTAAAAAATACTAAATCAAAAGCCTGAAAGGCTTCAATGGCGTCGAACATAATAAACAATTTCAAAAGATCTTTTTGAATTTGAAGAAAGTAAAAGGTCAACTGTATGATTCAGGTAATCTAACAAAAATTTTTGTAAACAAAATGTCAACTCTTATAGTTTTGGGGCCTTATGTCATGATCCGAATAGAGCAGGGTTCGAATTGACCAGACACCCTCGGACATCTTTCCAGTCAGTTGAAGAACTATGAAGAATTTATATATTATTTTAAAACATTTATATAATATTTTCCTAATTGCCAATGTCTAAGTGCTGTTTTAGTAATTGCATCTAAACTACAACCTAACTCTGCTCTGTTACGATTACGATCGAGTTACAATTGGGTTTGGTATACATTATACTGGGAAATGGAGGAAATGGATAAATACAGTAATACAGGTCAATAACTTCGGTTTTAATGATAAAATTGGTCATAAGATTGTAAAAGTGCGTTCAGATTTTGAAATTCGATATTTTTATTCTTCCAGTATTCGTGTTTATGTAATTTTGTGAATGTTTTACCGCCTGTGGTTTGTTTGTGTTACACGGTTATCGTTCCAAAACCTTATTCATGTCATTCGACGCACCCTTTCTTTAGAAATTCATCCGCAACAACTATCACATTTTTCTTGTGTGAATATAAACATAGTATCTTTGTTTTGTAACAGTATTAATTGTAAATATAATTGATGCAGTTTTATTTTCAAGCTATTATCAATTGTGAGCATTTTCAAAGAAGTTGATTTATATAGCTATTACTATTTTCTTTTGCTGATGCAGCAACTGACACATTCGGTCACGTAAAATACTATGGCGATTTTGATCGGGGCCACAGCTAGACGACGTTCGAGCTCTAGAGCTCGACGCCATAAAAATTCATTAATTTACATAAAGGTACTAGGATTTGGAGGATAAATTTATACCTCAGTTTTCTCTGAGTCCATGGATTCTGCATCCATGTTATCTGGATTGTCTGGCTCTAGATCCTCCTAAAGAAGAAATATACTTTACTTATCACTTAGTCTTAATACACAATTCTTGTACTTAAGTACTGATGGGATGCTTCCACTGATATATAACTTCTCATACCTCTGGATTAACAAGTCTATCAGACATAGCGCTCTCATCTAACATATTTTGCAGCACTGTTGGTGCCTCTTGCGAATTCTGAAAATAAAGATTCCATTTATTAGCAACCTTTAAAGAGATGTGTCTGATTTAAGAAAGGCACATTAAAGTTTTTCTTTTGTCATTAAACAGACATTATCCTGCTTAATTCTACTTATATGGAGTGATCAAAAAGTTAGTGAACTAAAAGAATTCAAATTGGGTTTCAGTGGAAATCTTTTTAAAAAAGGCCCTGCCAGTTTTAATACACATTCTAAAGTAACTGAAATTTTTGGGGATTAACAATTACTTTATTGTTATGACATTCAACTACAGGTAAACTTCGTTATCTCGACATCGACGGGACCATCTGAAAATGTCGAGATATCCAAGGTGTCGAGATATCAGAGTTGAGACTTGACGTCCAAGATTTCACTGCATAACCAAACACATACATGTGTATAAGCTTATTATACGTACATGACTTCAATATAGACTGTAGGTCAACTTATTTCAGCAATCCCTCTATTTTTATTAAAAATCTAAGAAGTTATATTTAAAAATCTTATTTATAAAACCTGTTCTTTCTCTTTATCGAAATCGTTCTAAATTTTTGTAGTTTTCAATCCAGCATTCGCGTGTTACTTGCTTTTTTGTCAGAACAGGATACGAAATGCTCTCTATAAACTTCGAACCGAACCGTATAAACATGACAAAGTCGACATCCGAGATACGAAAACATATTAAATGCGTAATTATTTTTTTTTCTTATTTCATTCAGGAAGAATGTGCATTAATATTAATTTTTTAAGAGATTTGTGTATCTAAACTAATGCAGTGATATTACAGATGCATGAATTACGGATGATTCGGTTAATCATGTCCTTAATCGGATTATTTCCTGTTGAATGCATTTTAACTACAAAATATTATTAGAACATCGTTAAATTCTTTAGTTTGAATTTATTCAATATATGTATTATTATTTGTAATTTAGTTATCTTTTTCAATTTTAAAAGTTATGCTATAGGTTTCGACATATATAAATACCTGTAAATTTAAGCAGAATCGTGTAGATTTATCAGTGATATTACCCAAGCTGAACATTAAGCAATTAACGTCTCAAAGACGCCGAGGGGGCTTTGGATTCACCTACAAACACAGTCTATAGAATTATTTTTAAGCAGCGTGCAGTCAAAACATGGGTGTGAAAGGTGTGAATTTTTGACGACGTCGAGATACCCGGAGCCGTCCATGCGTGACGAGCGACCCTATCTGACAAACAGTTAGGTTCAGTGGAGCAGAAAATTGCCGATCTCGACATATACCAGGTAAATTTTGCTCTTGGGACTGTGAATATACGTCGAGATAACCAGGGTTGTCGAGATTATCGAGGTCGACATATCAGAGTTTTTGCAAATCATTTATATAGTAAATACTGCCGGGACCGCGGACGGACGTCGACATATCCCAGGTTGTCGACATATCCGATGTCGAGATACCGAAGTTTACCTGTATTTCTATTTGGCTCGATGTTCCTTCTCCTACACTCGCCAATTGTTATATATTTACATACCTGATTATGGTCCAGACTCAGCCCCTGTTCCTTGGCCTCCTGGGCCCGTCGTTCTCTCTCCTCTGCCTCGATTTTCTCCCTTTCCTCCTCCTCTTTCCTCCTCTGTTCCGCCAGCTCTGCCTGCTTTTTCCTCTCTTCCTCCTGTTGCTGTAAGTACTGCTGATGTCGAACTTTCAGATCTTCTTTAGCTTTCACAACCATGGCATTGAACTGTTCCTCTGTCACTTGTGGTTTGTTTTCACAGAGCTAAAAAAATTAAACCAATATGATGATTATGCTTCACAAATTTAGAGGAGATATAACTTTTTTTCTGTGAACCAAAAAAACAAAATTTTTGTCTGGAATGACACAATAATTATACACTGGTACTTGCTCAGATATGCATGAAAAATGACAGCATTTTATTCAACAAACTTTGAATAATAAATCTTAAAATTTTCATAACTTACATCTAACTTACTAAAAACTCAAAATTATTAAAATTCACACAACATACATTTTTCAGTTCTTCGTGGAATGAATCACTGGCCTCTTGGAATTTCCTTTTCTTTGCTTCATGCTTTTCCTCTATTGTCTGCAATTCTGCCTCCAACTTTTTCTGTTGTCAAAATATAGATTCATAGGGTAAACAAGATTAAATAAATGTGCTAGAATTTTCACTATTCACATTTCACATGTGCTGACTCTTGGTGTAAATGATATTGTTTCTTGTAAATACAGTATATATTTGTCATTCAAAATAAACTTCTATAGACACAAGACTTGATATTTAACTGAAAATGACACTGTAATACAGAAATGTTAACAGTGTTGAAAAAATAAAGAATTGATTTATACCTGGTGCATGGTAAGAGACTGGACTTGTCTTTTAAGTACACCCATTCTCGATGTTGTTACGACCGTTCGAATGTCTGGCACAACTGTCTCACTGAAGATATCATTAACCAGGCGATGATTGCGTAGATATCGTGTGTGTGCCATATGCTTCACAGAGAAACTATCATCACCTTCTAATGAAACAATTAATATTAATCATCATGAAGGCAAAAACAATGCAAAGCAGGTATTACCAACGCAAATTAGACTTGTACATACTAAAAAGGATAATTGCTGTTAAATTTGAATATAGTTTTCTATTATCTACATACTGAGGCTTATAACAGTTATTTTTTCAATACATGTACAATTCAATACAACATGTTCAAAATTAAGACATGTATTTCATCCTTAAAGCAGGTAACTTTTTTCTTTGATCCCCTTATCTTTATAGCAAGTATTATACCAAATTATTCAAGGACTTTGCTTTAATTCTTTTCAATAATGTCTTACACAATCACATCCAGTGTACTTGATTTAAAAGAGAAGAACAATTACTGACTTTTGAACAAAAGAAAGTGTACAACTTAAAAGCTTACCATCATCATCATCTGCTTGCTGTATGCTGATTCTGCCAACTGTGTCCATTTTAGAACTCTGAAAAAATATCATAATTTGCATTAATGGAAAATTAAAGGACCTTGTTTATTAAATTACAGTGTATATTATACATAAATGTATTTCTCATTTTTTCCATGAAAAAAAAAATGAAAAAAAATAATGCTTCAGGAAATGAAAATCATGCACAACTACATGTATAACTTATTTGAAGAGTTTCTCCTTACAGAATCACTGATGATCTGTAACCTTGCAAGTGCTGCAATGACCATGATGACATTACTTAGAAGACACAGCACAATATGTCAGGGTTAGCACCACAGACATGCATAAAACTACTCTTGTGTCATATAAAGAACATTCTTCCAACCTACACTCTAAAGATTATAGAAAACCTGACATTCATGTACCTTGGAGGCTCCAGTGCTGCGAGGAGTTCTTTGCGCCAGCTTCTCTTTCTCATCTTCTTCCATGGCAGCTTCTGCTGCAGCTGTTATAGAATATAAAATTTCAAAAAATTCTGCTTCAATTTTTCAAAACCAGTAATTTTTTTTATTTTATGAACAATGTATTTAAAACATTCACAAAGTATAATGATACATGTCCTACCTTTGCCCTTGGCTGCTACCCAGGACTGGTAAGCTGAGGAGTTGTGGTACTTCTTCATCTCATCATTGTAGTGACTCTGAAGAAAACAAAGAAAACAATATACTATCACAGAGTCATGTTTTCAAAAGTATAAGTGGAAAATTTGAGAAATCACTTGTAAAATTTGACCCCCACCTTCTCCATCTCATACTCATCCATGTACTCTTGTTTGTCCTGATCAGACAGCTCCCTCCACATCTGACCAATGATTTTACCAATCTCCCATAACTTCAAGTCCTGATGAGCTGCCTTAACAGAGTCCCAAACCTACATAGGAAAATCTGAGTATTATACATAAACCTGAACATTTTACAGAGTCCCGATCATAAGCACAATAATCTGACACATATAACTCATCACACTACTTTCTTCATACCTATTTAGCTTAAACATACTATTTTGAGATTTAAATTTTTAATTTTTCTTTCACTTAATATCTTGACATCTTATGACAATTATCAACCTTTCTTGAATTCATTATTTCCTTTAGGGTGGAAATAAAGCAAAAATTAACACTAAATATTTTTTTCCCTTTTTGGAAACTTGACTTTTACATTTCAACTATTTATTTCTTGTCTAAAAATTACAGGGGTTTTTTATGTTATGATGTTATATTTTTTAAAGTTGTACATTCTCAAGTTTGAAGTGACTCCATCAATTCGCAAGACATACCCTTCTACTGTAGCGCATATAAGGCATCAGGGGCTTGTCTGGGGGCTTGGGTTGTTTTGGTCCCCTTGAATCTCCCTGAAAAAGAATCACATTAAGCTAAATTTCCTCATTACATAAAAAATGCTTTGCAACTGTAAGGGAGAATTTGAAATAAGAATTAAAATCTTTGTAAGTTTTTTTTTTTTTTTTTTTTTTTCATTTAATGAAAAAGTAAATCGAACTAGACAAATAATACTGGAAATGCACAAGATAATTCCTAGTGATGAGTGATGACCCTTGAATCTTTGACATTAAATACCAGATAATGGGTATTTTCTGCGGTTGTCTAATTTTTGCAGTATTTTGCGGATAGGACAAATCCACAAAAATAGCAATCACAAAATATTCTGAAAATATTAATTATCTCATAAATGAGTCATCATTTTTCCCAAACACAGTATAGGGTGCACACATCAAGGTAGTCTTTCGCCTAATTTTACCCATATAAATTTTTTAACTGATTTCTATAATGAAATAAAATAAATGAAAGAAAGAAGAACAGCAGAGTTTCTTATCAGTTCTGATGAACCCTGACCAAGGTCATATCATTAGACAATCTTAAAACGCTAAACGCTGTACTATTCTTCAAAATCTAACATCCAGTAGTCACTTCCTGGAAGTGAATCGCTTGCAGTATAATGCATAATTTGCTACCTTTCAGAGGTCAAATTGCAAAAATTTCCAAACCGCTGAAAATACCCATTATACGGTACAGACAATATACAAAGACAATATTGCCTTTATTCTTTTTTACTACCCTTGATATAATGTTCCAGTAACTACAAAAATGACTCTGACATCTACAACAAATAAAGCACTGCTCCAAGTAATACAAATGTCTATGATATTCATCAACTACTTTAAAACATGCTTGCAAGCAGACTTAATCTCTTTGAACATATATATATATATATATATATTTGATATTCATTTTAAAGTGCAAGATATTCTACCATTTAAGAAAGCAAGATACATACAAAGCTCTGTTTGAAATTTAAAAAAAAAAAAGAAAGATTTTTTAAAAATGAAATTTTTGCATGAAAATTTATATACCTTAGTAGCTAGTCTAAGAATAAAGTTCAAGCATTCATCAGTATACTGATGTTATTATAGAAGTACGTTGTGCTTGAGTATTTCTAGTCAGCCTTCTGTCCAGTGTTAGTTTCTCTTACTCTCATACTGATTCAGAGATAAACTAATGTACATAACAATCATTCACTTTTCTCAGTTTGCCCAGCAGACAACCCATTAATGAAACAGGAAAAGAAAAATTCTTCTAAATCATCTCTGCATGACTCTTGACTAAAAAAGTGATGCATAATTCAAACAGTTTGTCAAAGCATACATTGTAACAACTGACAGAAATAGATATTGAACTCTCAATACCAAAGCTGGGGTTACCACAAAGCAGGATACAGACAGGCAAGGTCTGCGTAAGCACCATCTTCACGCAGTGACAACAGGCGGATGGCATGCCTAGAATCGTAAACTGTTATTACCTGAAAGTGATTACTTACTCCACCTCGAGAACTGACTTTGACAGGGTTAAATGCAGGATGACCATGCGAGGAGGGTACAAATGGACTTGGTGCCTACAGAATAGCAAGATGTGTGGCTGAATAACTTTGATCATGTCCGTAGAATAATCTTTACAGATAATATTAGCAATAGTTTTAAATTCATAAACTCCCTTCTCAATGTCAGTCTTGGACCCAGTGACAAATTTTGAGCAAGCTACATGCAGAACTTATATTTACAACTCAAAGAAAAGTGTCTAGTGATCAATTTCCTTCTTTATAATTCATTTCAAATTATTCACTTACATTTCTGTCATAACCCCTAGACCGAGCTGAAAACAAAAGTAGATGATGAGTTTGCAGTAAAATGGATAATTTTCAAGTAATAATGTTCATCAGAAATTAAATCTGGCAAGCACATTGTATTTACGTACATGCTGGGGGAGGCGGCGTTTGCTGAATACTGCGAAAGTTTGGTAATGCCATTGTCTGGGGAAAAATCTGAAAGAGTTATTTCCCTTCAATTCAATCATTAGTCATTATCTTTTTTATTTCAGGTTGAGAGATTTCATCTTACAGCATAAATATAAGTGTATGTACATGAAAACTGCACCATAGTTCTTTACAGAGTCCAAATTTTATTTCATTTTGTAAACAAAACATAAATCGAAAAACATCAACCAAAGGCAAACGATTTCGAGATTTACACAAGCCAGAGGTTGGGCCTATATTTTAGCATCGCATAATTATGCATATGAACCAAACTTAATCTAAAATACAATTTCAGGTATCCTTCTACATTATTCTTTCTCGGTTACAAAATTTGACTAATGCTATTTGACTACCATGAACACTTACCTCTTAGCGGCTCTTTTCCTGAAACAAAAGGAAAATGGCGTCAGCTAAAAAACTAAATTTGAAGTTAAACGGGAGAAAATGAAAATCCGTTTAGCATTTTTAATACTAGGTTTTCATTAAAAGATAAAAGAGTCAAATCCAAACATGTCAAAATATTATACAATGTATTTTTTTTTTTACAATGTTGCAAAAATATAATAAAAATAAAATCGTCAGTTCACAAATCAAAGTACTGAAAATACTGCAACGTGAAGCGGTCACCCATTCAACACATTTTGAGTTTGTGATCTAGAAATATTTTATATTTTTGTTTACTTTTCATTGTGCATAAAGGTAATGTCTATAGACTAAATTCTATTCTTGATACTAGTATGTTTTAATTTTACAACACAATTACATGGATTTAATAAAGCTTGCCATTAATGTATGCAAATTTTATAATTGAAATCCAAGGAAGAGCAGAAACTTATATGTAGCCCTTCTGTTTCAAAACTTGACACCTGAGTTTAGAACATTGACTCAGTACAGAAGTACATGTATGTAATTCTAAATATACTAATTAAGCTCAAATAATATAAGCAATACGTACATGTAACATATACTTTCCAACGCAATAACCCAGATACATGTGAGTACTAGTAGCGCAGACGTAGTAAAAGCAACGTGATTAACTGCTAAGGGATATATGCAATAGAAATCCATCGCAATTCATTTCAGGCGAGAATACCTGTATCGAATAACACAGAGCAAATAATTCTTGTCCTCAAAGAAAGTGTGCTATACTGAGGTATACTTCCGCTTCATTCACTCATTCATCCATCTTTTATTTCCTCCATTACTGAGATTAGAAAAGATAGATAATTGCAGGGAAATATACCAAAGACTATAAATAAAATTAAAATAGTCGTTGAAAAGGCGAGAATTTAAAACTATAAAAGTATGGTACCAGGTGGATTCGATTCACGACTCACTCGCTGTTAATACTCAGCGGATATATTAATTGAGCTATTCTGATAATAAATGTAGTTGTCATAAATGTTAACCAGATTGCCCAAATCAAGCTTCGTTATTTTTTGTAGTTTTTTTTATGCCCCCGGATCGAAAGATCCCGGGGGTATATTGTTTTTGTCCTGTCTGTCTGTTTGTCTGTTTATCTGTTTGTCTGTTTGTCCGTTTGTCTGTTTGTCCGTTTGTCTGTCTGTCTTTTGTCAACTTTAACCTTGCCCATAACTTTTGATTGGTTGGAGCTACGACTTTCATATTTCACATGTGTATTTCTTGTGACAAGACCTTTCTTTGGGTACCATCATATTTGACCTTTTGACCTTGACCTTGGAGTTTGACCCACTTTTGCAAAATTTTATGAGACTTTAACCTTGGCCATAACTTCTGAACAGTTGGTGCTTGGGGTTTCAAACTTCACATGTGTATTCCTTGTGACAAGACCTTCCTCTGGATATCAACCACTTTGACCCTTTGACCTTGACCTAGGAGTTTGACCTACTTTTGAAAAACTTTAACCTTGGCCATAACTTTTGAATGGTTGGAGCTAGGGCTTTCATACTTCACATATGTAATCCTTGCGACAAGATCTTCCTTTGGATACCAACCACTTTGACCTTGACCTTGACGTTTTACTTTTATTTAAAAAACTTTAACCTTCGCCATAACTTTTGAACAGTTGTATCTAGATCTTTCAAATTTCACAGGTGTATTCCTCGAGACAAGACCTTTCTTTGGGTATCAACATTTTTTATCTTTTGGCCTGGATTTTGACTTGCATTTGAAGAAACTTTAACCTTCGCCATAAGCTGTCATACGGGGGCATCAGTGTTTCACAAACACATCTTGGTTTTTTTTTTTAATTTTGATTTTCGACCCTTGGGCAGAGGCGCCCCTAGAAAAGCTTATCTTAAATTATTCCTTACTTCACAACCCATCAAAATATCATAATTTTATTTAGAGGCAGGTCTGCCCTATTTTTATTTTTTCATTCAATCTTTATTTCCTCCATTTGGAGATTTGATAAACAAAACAACTATTACAACATATTTACATCAATGAAAATATATAAAAAGAAAATAATAAAGAAAAAATGCGGCATGTTCAATTTGCTAATATACTCTATATGAAAACATAAAAGAATTATTATACAAACATTTAAGTAAAATTTTTGAAAAACTTCTGTAAAATTATCAATCATTGACAAATTTTACCTATGACCGACTCGTTCCGTTGAAGTCTATTTAAAAGAACGACAATTCTAAAAATTGCAAAATCGTAAAATTCTGGTTACTCCCCTTTGATGATGCAAAATATGACGTAATTTCAAGGCCATTCTTGTGGTATTTTTATCACAACATGAAAATAAAAATCGGCATCATTAAAAATTTTAAATCTTCACCTTTAAGACAGAGAAACAAGTAAAAACACGGGTTGGAGATGGGTTGGAAAAACATGGAGACTCGGGTTCAATGAAAGTTTATTGCTTCAAGTTGTCCGAAGCAAGGTATGTGTCCGATGCATGGTTAAATCACCCTACTAGAAACTATGAATGAAAAACATTTTAACATGAATTTCTTTTTGTCTAAAACTTGGACATGGGTACCCCTAAGAACAGATAGGTAAAAAATGTACCCGTTTAATGTGACAAAATCTATATAAACATCATTGTATTCATATGATAATTCAAACATAAATTCAGATCTTTCATTAGATGTTATAGAACAAGTCGCTATGGCATGTTGGAAACTGTTTGTAAAGGGTTTCGAGCAGATAATGCACTGATATGTATAATCCTTCTTCGGTACAAGAGTCCAAAGATTTGCAACATACTTAACAACTTGCATTTCTTTTGTTGAAAGTGAATGTTTCCAAAGTGAAGCCAAATGTACAGTTGTATGAAGAAACTTGGTCATCGAAATCTGGATCGGAGTGAATTAAATCTTTCCATGAAGAAATGTAGTAAGAATTAATGGCCTTTTTTACAATGTTCTTCCAAATATTTTTGGGTGGAAAACTTGTATTGCTTATGCATGTCTGAAAGAATCTTTTTGAAGAGTATTTCTGGATAGTAAAGACAAGGTCTCTAACAAAACCGAATTTTGATGTTTGGTTGTGGTTGAAATATTCGAACATTCGGATCGTAAAAACTTGTTTTGGAAGGATAGTACTATCAATGCAGTAAAGCTTTCCAAAGAAATATAGTTTTCTTTTATCATTTTAGCTTGTATTGGGTGTAACCCGAGCATACTTTCACAAATGGCCGATCTTGGTGATTTTTGGAAATTTTGCATGTCTTTTACAATAAAATGTTGAAACCTATTCAAAATGTTCCAGTCTTTCGTTTTCAAATTGTTCCATAACTTCACAACCCATCAAAATATCATAATTTTATTTAGGGGCAGGTCTGCCCTAAAGGACGCCAAGACCAAAGTTCACGCAAAAATCGGTGCTTTCAAGGACAAAATGCTCTTTTGGTCAATTTGGTTAATATTTCAAAGTTGCAAATAATAAATTTTAGGTTCAAAATGCAAATTTGAAAAATTTAGACAAATAGAAAACATCTAAAGAACATTGATTTTTAAATGTTACATGTACATTTTCCGGAAATATTTTCTCGCCTATAGGTCAAATCTTTTGAAATTCCGAATACATCCTTTATAAAATTCCCAGCACGTTCATAAAGTACTAGTAACTTGGGCTTCAATCCTATTAAACAGAGGAAGCTAGAATACGTTAGGTTATTGATTTGGAGTTACGCTTGTTATATTTCAATGATTTAATTTTGTTTGTATTCTAGCCTCTGATTGGTTAATATCCAAAAATGAACACAAATTATTTCTGTATAACCTGGTTTGGTATTGGGACACACCCCCCTGACAACCAGCTGAATCATCTGTATCCGTACAATCCTCTCATTTCCAGTCCTCATCATTCATGGAAAATTCCAGATTTAATAAATGTACCTTAACTTCAAACAATAATTCGATCTTACCACATGTAAACAAACAACATGGCTGATAGGCCTATGTATCAGTTTTTATCTCCCCTCGCTTCCCATCACTTCCGTTACTACGGTTGTAATACTGAGCGGCAAATTTGAACTAATAAAAAGCAACGAAATTTTAAACCCATAGTTATTTAATGATTTTAAAATTAAATTATAAGGAATGACTCTAATTCTTGGCCAAATTATTCGAGTATAACCTGGTTTGGGTCAGTTTACGCTGTTTTATAATCCGCATTCATACATGTCGACTCGATATGAAATAAAAGATACCACAGAGTCTGACACATCTGTTTCATATTAGGATATTTTACTAGAAAAGACTTTAATGGTAACCCAACAACAAAGCTTTATGATACACGTGATGACTTCAATTTTCAACTTTCCTTTCTTATGTATCAATATACACTTAACACCTGCATATGGGATTTTAGTCTCCCAATTGATTCGATACGCAAGAGCATGCTTTAAGTATGAACAATTTCTAAAAAGAGACAAGCTATAATTGACAAACAAGTTGATGAAACTAGGATAGCAATAGTCTCGTTTGAAGTCATCATTTAGCAAATTTTATGGTCAATACAATGGCCTTGTCAGCAAATTCAACCTATTAATTATGTCAAGTGCTGA